GTCTCTCTCTGTTACTTGGGGAGCAGATACTGTGCAATGCATTGCACCATACCACCTCCCCCAATAACAGCCACCATAACAAGTTTTAGGAGACTTATATTTTTAAAGCCATCTTCAGTGTAGGTTAATGGCATGAGGCCTAAGCACAATTCAGTTCAAAAGTAATTTCACAAAGAACTAAACTTATTTAATAGGGTTCGTCTCCACTGAAAATAGAGCACCACCACTATATATACATATTATGTGAACATACACACATATACATACACACACTGTACTTTAAGGTATTAGATTAAGTACGTCTGGTTTCTGAAAATACAGTCAGAAACCGGAAGTATAGCAGAATGGCGGAATGAACTTTTTGAAAGTTCTATTAACAGAAGGTTTAAGGTAAATATCACACAGCAGAACCATTATGACAGACCTCTAGATCCTATTCTCTCATTTTAAACTATTGTTCTCTGAAGCCCACTGTATTTTCATTGCCATCTTACTTATGGAAGAGAGTCATAAATAGTGCAAGAAGTATGAAAGTCTCCCAAGGTGACAGTCTAGTCAACAGTCCAGCTTGCACTGTAATTCCAGTCGGTTCAGTCAGTGCGACAACTATTTATTGCATGCCTGTGTGGTAGATGCCACAGGGGATTCACAAGTGAATGACAGCAGAGCCTGATATGGTCTAAAAGAATATATGAAAAAGAGATGCCGAAATGAGAAGGAAACAAACAAACTCCTACGATACCAAGCAGAGTCAAACCAGTGCCTTAAAAAAGGCCTAGAGTTCTCGGAGGGCTCTGAGACACCTCATCCTTTTGTGAATGGTGTCACTGGAGATAAGTCTGTAAGAAAAAGTAGAAGGTGGATGGGTGGAGATGGGTTAGGGAAGGAAGGGCAGGAGGCATGGCATGGAGGTGGTAGCGCCTGGTACACACTCTGGGAACATCAAGAAGCCTCATTTGGCTAGACTGTTAAAGACATGCAGGGGAGGGTGAGGTGGGAAAGCAGTCTGAGGCCTCACGGTAATGGCCATGGTGAAGAGACTACTGAATGTAGTGGGGAACCAACTCAAGACTTTAGATCTCATGGTCACAGTTGACCATGAGACCATTCATCTTCATAAATATACTGTTTCTACAATAGGAGATACATTTTAGGAAGCAAAAAACTGAAACCAAAACTATTGAAAAGAATCCATAGTATCTACATCTCTGCATGAAAGTGTGTGATTCTTGCAGAGATGAAATCTGTGGGGAAGAAATTAGTATTTTCCATTCCTAAGTTTTACTCAGGCACATTCTCCTTGGTAAGAACCTGTTTCCAAAGATCAAACTTAAGAAATGCAGAAATTGTCCTAATTGTAATAATCCCAAATCTCTCTGCAAACATCCATGAATTTCAAGCCTTATTTCTGAATTAAGTGTTCTAGGTCACAGTTATGTCTCATTCCAAACTTACCCAACCTCAGGCTTCAACTTCTATCTATCCTCTAAAGGAAAGAGACTCTCACATTTTTATATTTCAAAAATTTCTGTATGCAGTCAAGAGTCATTGATTTTAAAAAACCTGTGATTTTCTAATAATCTGACCCATGTCCATTTTATAGAGATATTTGCTTGAATTAACCCTCTGTCTTAATCCTTTGCTCCAGGTATGTCTGCATATAGTTAGAAATTTTGTACTAGTGACAGTATGTCTCAACAGAGATACTCTTATAGCAAACTCCACAAATTAGTAATATTTCAAACTAAGTTTTTTAACTCTAATGAAAGCAGAAAATAATAGGAAAATATCCAACTAGAAAAACAACTAAATGTAAACGATCTGCTAAAAATAAACTACTTGTTTCTAGAACACGGCAATATTAGAAAGTTTAAAAAGTGAAAATTCCTTGGGGTCCTAAACTATTATTGCTCTCCCTATAGTGGTAACGAACTTCCTTGTTGCATTAAATCACATTTAAGAGCAATAATCAGGCCAAAATATAACTACATATTTTAGGCCTTTTTTCCTGATTTAAACTTTAGAATTCTACAAGATATGACTGCATCTTTCTCCTTTGACATTGTTACTAAACTGTTTTTCAATCAGTTCAGGATATAAAGATGAATGTATAACAATATGGAAATGATTTGAGATTTATAAAATTTAACATTATTCTAAGCTTATTTTTCTCTAAACATTGGTTGAGGTATACTATTTAGTGTGGGCAAATACTTTTCAGATATACATAGAATACATTCAATCCTAAAAGAAAATTCACTATATAATGAACTTTTAATCACAAGAGAGATAATTTTAAAGTATATTCTTGAAAATTCCACAACGTGTTAATAATTGCCAACAGTGATGCGAAAGAGAGTACGTGGGGTTTTCCACTGTACTTATCACACCACACGAATGTATTCAAGGTGTAAGTCTACATGTAGGGAGTATTATATAAATATTAAATGGATATTTAATTTCAACGAAAATGGGAAATATAATAAACTCTCATTGTTTTAAATTGCCACTCATTTATGAATGTTAAGTTGAAATATCAAAAAATACTGCACATAGGAAAGAAAATACTGAGGATCACTCATCTCAGGTTTGGGAGAGAATGGGAAGGAAATTAGTGGTTTCTCTGCCCTCTGGTGGCAACAAAATCAACTGCAGCATTTCTAAAGGAATGCATAAAAAATGTCCTTTATGAAATCAGACTCCCCTGCCCCCAACCCCCGCCAAAATGTCTGTAAAAAAATCCTGATTGCTACATGCCGAATTCCAAGCCTGTCGGACTTTTAAAAATTTTCCTGTATTGAACTTTTTAGCTAGACTATTTTACAAAGGAAACTATATTTTTTCTTCCATTTCATTGCTGTATTTTAGGTATTACAGTAGCCTAACCATTTAATTCCAAGATTATTTAATAAAATGAATGCAGACTGATAACCAGGAAAGAAGTTACTTCATTTTGTAATAAATCTCAAAAAATTTGCTGAGAAGTATAAAACTATTCCTTTTTTACTCAATCCTGTAAAGATGTGGGCTTCTAGAGTAGTTTTCCACCAGAAATACTGGTTTATAATACCTGCAGCTCTATGTTGAACAATTTACGTATTTCATATTCCCCAAATCAAAGGCTTTTAACTATCTGTTCAGTTTTAGAGTGGAGTAAATTTTATCCTCAATTTGAGAACTCAGAATAGTAAACTTATTGTATGCATTGTTCTTTTCTCAGTAACATATTATTAATGAAAAAAGTTCAGGAAAAAAATAAACATTTGCTGACCTTTTATTTTTTTACTGTAAATGCATTATTTACTCCCAGTGCCGAAGAGGTTTTCAAATAAACAACTTGGGATGAATTTTTGGCACACGCACCTCTCTAACCTCCTTTGGAAAGAAGTAAATTGCTTTCTTTAAGCAATTATTTATTTCATGAAGATGCCCATGAAAACTACTGTTGCACTTCTTAAAATAAATGTGCAGCTTTCCAGACGAGTAAAAGTCTTTTTGTTTACCAATGAAATGTAGCAGAGAAATACACAGAAGGTATGATCTATTGATACATATAATACCTAGTCAAGAACAACCTATGTCCATCTATGCAGAACACATTATATGCGATAAAGACAAATCAACATCCAGGAAACTTGCGTTTTATTCACAGCTTTAAAAGTGTTGTCATCTTGTTGCCCTCCCCCCGTCCCCCAACACACACACACACACACACACACCCTCCAATCATAAATTGGAGCAGAGTCAGAATCTGTGCTTTCTCCATAAGAATTTACACCAGGGGCAGACACAGTGTTTCGGCTGTCTCAGCTCGGTAACATTTCATTCAAGGACTTCCCTTCAAGATTCACCCCACCTGGAATCCCCAGGTGCTCTCCCTAGCCTTCCATCTGCGACTGGCAGGTTTGACATTTGCGGACGCCAGTAGACTTCCTGAGGAACCACTTACCGTTTCCCCTCCTCAGGATTAAAACAGAACAAAACAAAACCTTGATTAGCCTCATCAGCAAGGTTTTATTTCCTTTTTCTTTTCCCTGTGTCTTTGCTCATTCACCTCCTCTCGAAGTCTATCCATTTCTTCCCAGGGGGCATAAATGGGGAGCAGGCGCCCGGTTCACAGTGGGCAGGGTGCGGAAGGCAGCTGGACCTCCGGCTCAGCAGCGCCTCGCCAGGAGGAGCCGGCGCGCCCAGGGCGGCGTCGCCGGCTCCGCGCTCGCCCCGCGGGGCGCGGCTCCGGAGGGACGCGCACCTGGCTGGAGCAGCCACCCCTGGGAACGTGCGGGGCCGGGGCTCCGCGTGGGGGCAATAGCAGGCCACTCGGAGGAGGCCCTGCACGTTCAGGCCTGTCTGCGAAGCCGGCCGGCGGAGGACAATGGGGCCAGTGGTTGGTCTCCAGAGGGGCGCCCGCCCCACCTCTGCCACCTCCTTCCTTCCTCTGCGTCCCGCCGCACCCACCCCGCCCCACTTCCAGCGCCCGCTCAGCCCCAGACAGCAAGAGGGAGCAGAGGTGGGGATCGCCTGGGGGGAGGAAGGTGCGGCCCCAGGGAATTTTCTCCAGCAGAGGGGAGCTCTGCAATCCCCGGCTGCCACCACGTCCACCCCCTACCGCCCCCTTCGCGCACTCCCTTAGTTTACCCCAGCAGCAGAGAAGGAGGAGGGGCCGGGGAGGACACAGCCCAGGCTGCCAGCTCCTGGGCGAAGTATCAGCGTAAGGTTTGCTCTAACCCCAGAGCCCTCTCTGGGCGCGTCCGGGGAGTCAGTACCACTCCCTGCCAGCCGCTCAGGTGAAGCAAGCGGTAAATCCTTAAGATAACCCCCAGTCCCTACCACCCTACTCATCCAGCCAACATTCTTCTGCCCATTTGAGAAGCCCAAGTTTAGTCGAAATGCAATTGCAATAGCTTTGCCAAGGGCATAGGTGGGGAGGGAGTGGGTTAACAACGGGGTGCCAGAGAGGTCTTCAGCTGGGCACAAAAGCAAGAAGCGAAAGTGGATCTTACCATTGACTTGGTTTCCAGGCTTCCCTTCAGAAAACTGAAACCGGTCCATTAAAAAGTGGCAAAGTAACACAACTCCTGCAGCAGCCAGGTCGGCCCTCGGGAACCTCGCCATGCCGCTGCCGCGACCTCCCTCCCCTTCCCCGCCAGTACTTCTCCGGCACCCTGTGCCCCGGGGCTCCCGCTGGGAATGGGAACAACGGGGCCGAACGCTGAGGACTGGTCTCGGCGGGATGCAGAGGCCTTTGTAAATTTCTCTGGGACTTCACACCCGGGAGCCGGGAAGAGGAAGAAGGGAGAGCGAGGGGAGCGCAGTCCTCTCCGGACCTCCAGGTCTCTCTTCACAACTTGCCACGACACTCGCAGCCCTCACCCCAGACACACAACAATTGCGGAGACGAAAGGCCACTTGAGCTGGGGCTGGCAAACTCTCCCTTCCGCACAAGCAGCGCCACCCCGGTGCCCGTAGACGGTGACTTCCGAGCCCCCGCGATGCGCTCCACTGGGTTCAAAACAGATCTAATTCCTCAGCCAGCGCGGGTGCCTGTCCAAATCCAAGAGGGCTGTCGGCTCGGAAGGAACTTTCCCCAGTCCTAGGGTGGCCCCCGCGGAAGGTTTGGGTTTGCGGGAAGGGGGTTACTGTGGGATGGCGAAACCCCTCCGACAAGTTTTTCTTCTTTTCTTCGCCCCGACGCTGGGCGCGCGTCCTTGCTCGCAGCCGGAGGGATGAGCAGCCCCAGAGCTGAGCCCCGGGAAGGCTCGGGCTGCAGCAGTCTGAGGTCCGAAGGCAGGAAAAATGTATTGGGGAAAAAAAGAGAGAGAGAGAGGAAGAAGAAAGAAATGGGGAGGGAAAAGTCAGGCTGAAACCTATCGGGAGAGGGTTCCTCCTGGCTAAGGAGGAGGTGGCCCCAAGCCCCGCCGAGCCCCGGAGTTTGGTGGCGGAGGAGGCGCCGCCGCCGCCGCGCTCCCCCGCACTCCAGCTCCACACTTTGGGGAGGGAAGGCAGCTCGCAATTTGCCAGATCTGCCGCTGCATTCCACCCCCCCGCTTCCCTCCCCCTTGCTCCTCCAGGCGTCTCCCACCTTCCTCCCCGAAACCGGCAGCTAGCACCGACCTGTCCAATGGCTGCACTTTCCTCGGGGCTGGCAGAGGAGTCGCCGAGAGATTAAACCCGGGGAGCAAGGCAAGGGGGAGTGAGAGGGCAACTCCGGCCCGGCGTGCCCCCCGGCAGCCGGCGGCCTGGCGCGCCGGGAGAGGAGGCGAGAAAGCCAAGCTAGGAGGGGAGCGCCGGACGGCACCTCTGCGCTGCCCGGGCGCCATGCCCGCACCCGGCTCGCACCCCTGGCGGTCGGGCCAGCGGTGCCCGCACCCACCTGGCCCTGGGCCGCCTTCGCGCCCGCCTGCGGGGAATCGCGGCCCAGCGGCCGACCCTGCGGGCGCTCGCCGCCGGTGGGGTCTTCCTGGGCGCTACAGGGTTAATTACAGTTCGCCATTCCCGGGAGGGCGTGTGCGGCGGCGGCTGGGGTGTGAAGAAAGCAAACCTGAGCCCGTATTCGCTTACTGACCCTGCGAAGCCCCTTCGGACCCCCGGCCCGCCGGGCGGGTGGAGGAAGGTGGCGCGCGGCAGCTTGGACCCGCCGCTGCGGCTTTGTAAAGTGTCAGCGGGAGCGAAAGCGAGAGTTTAAGGAAACAGGAGGCCCACTGAATTTCCTACGGGGGCTTTAACAGGCTTTCGCTGGCTGGTTTGTTTTTGTTTTTTCAGCTCGCGGAAGTGCTTCAGCGTTAACCCTTTCCAGCCCTTTCAGTAAGTTTGCACCTTATTTCGCAGAGTTAACCTTATTTTAAAGGGGTAAATAAAAAGAAAGGAAGGAAAACAGCATATTGGTTAAAAAAGTACAGCTTCTAGAACCAGACTGGGCTAGAATTCCACCTCCCCCACGAAATAGCTATATGGCTTTGAGCAATATTCTTATTAGTGCCTCAGTTCCCCATCCATCAGGGGAGAATTGTAGTTATGCCCTTATAAGGTTGTTGTATTGGATTAAATGAGTTAACACTGAATAATTAAAGAATTGAGAACAGTGCCTGGCACAAAGTACATGACTTTATGCTTCTTAAATTAAAGAGAAGAGAGGGAAAGGAAGAGAGAGGGTGTCCTAAATCAATTGGAGAATCTGCTTCAGTGTTCTAAGAGCAAAATGTCCTGTTAGTCTATTCTTGTGCAGTCTTTTCCATGCTCTAAAAAATTTATGGGTGCCATCAATACCACCTTAATTTTGTCTCAATACCCACTGGAAGTGGATCCAGATAATCAAACTACTCTTGCCAATTTGATGCCGAAAGAATGCCTTTCTCATGGTTCCTTAGCTGTTGAGCAGAAGAGAAACAGGAAGTGTAGCATGTTTTCCTCAATCCAATATTCAATTTGCTATTGATTTTGGAATATATAAACTCGTCATGGATACACACTTTTTAATGCTACTTTCTCTCTCCTGAGCTTTTCCCCAACCAGTTGATTTCTCCCTCCTCACCTTACTTAGAAAACCTGGTTCTTTTACTTATGCCTAACCAAGAGTTAAGTTCTATGTAACATTACATCCAAAGTTGAGTACCTGAGATACTTATCTATTTAACAGTAAGTTGGAAAAATGAATCTTCCTATCAAAATCTTATTGTGATTTAATTAACGTCGATTTTTTTTGTCTGTATCCCTACTGACCTCACTTACTTCACGAATCCTTGCAGAAAGCTTCCTAAAACGTTCAGTACAGCTCCATTTCCCATTTATATGCAAAATTACGGGGACCCGGGAGGAGCCATTTCAAGAAAGCATCTCTTCTTTGGTCTGGAATATTTACCTCCCCTTTCACAGTAGAAAAACGGGTGTTTCCTGTTTCTCTGAGAAGAAACAAGTCCCTGCCTCTCCCTGGTATCATTTTCTTTCTTTTTTCCTTTATTATTATATGTGCAAATTAGCAGTGCTTATTTTCTTGTTTGTTGTCAGCAATGCTTTGCCCTCCTCATTGAAGCTTTATACCTCAAGTGGAAATTTGATGCCAAAAATTGAAAGGGAGTCAAGTGGTAATTCAGAGTAAGTCTGAAGAGGCTTTTATGTATTTTGTCTCTCTCACTGGTCCTGTTTCATTTTACTCATATCTTAATCTTATTCTGAAGAGCTGTCCACATAGAAAATACTTTAGTATGGGAGAAGATGCAGGTAAGCAAGAATCAATCATGCACGATGATTTAGTGCTCAGAACTAAGTAAGAAAGAACAAAATAAAGTTAGGCTTTGGTACATTGCCTTAAATGTCAGCCAGTAATTATTTGTAAAAAAAAAATGATTTTTCCTTTACATTACAGCAAGTAACAACTAAAATGTATGTAGGATGGTATGTTCAGAGTGAAATGGAAGGTTCATTACTCATATAAAATCCTGGCTAATTAAAAGTAGTATACTTTGTGGCCTAAATGATCTAAGTTTGCCATATATGTTTCACCACAGAATAATCTATTTCACTTTCATGGAGAGAAATTAAGATGTCTCTGTGGAAAAAGTTTCATCTTCCATCTGACTAAAGAGAAGAGTTATAATGAGTGAGCTTTGTTTCTATTTACTATAGTTGTAAGAACTGAATCGCTGGGGGCTTTTTGTTTGTTTTTTACTCACTGAGTTAATTTTAGCTAACCTCTCAAGGAACAAATGAATCAGGAATCACAAAGGAGCAGCACTTGAGTTCCTTGTCCATGACAAAGGTCTGGAATTCACTGAACACCCTCCTTTACTATCTTAAGATTGTATATCAGAATCATTTTCACCAACAGAGAATTTTGGGCTGACATTAGCACCTGAGCTAAAGTCTGCACAGATTTCAAACCTGTTCGCAACCCCTTATCTACACCAACCTTCAAAGGCATTTCTACACATTCCAAGTGCAATACTACCTGCATAAAGGTAATTACAATTACCCATCTCATCCCACCTCCAACTCTATCATCTCTCCCAAATTGAAACTTGGCTAACAGGATACTCAAGAAACCATCATGCTCATTTTGAAAAAACTGAGATGTAATACAGGCTGTGGAGTACTTAGTATTTACTGTAATCTATTATTATTTTAGGAAATAGTTTTTGTCCATTTTAATAGAATTTGTTAAAACTTTCTATAATTGCTGTCAAGTAAAGGGAAATTGCTAGTAGTGGACCGCTTTTATTCAGTCCTAATCTAATATTATGACCTTTTCCTCTAGGTCTAAGGCATTTCCTCTTCCTCATTTAATAGGGCAATTTTTTTTTTACCTCTGGTACTCAATTACAAGACTCATTCCCTCATCTTGGCTGACTTCTGCTTTCAGAATCAACCAAGATTTCATTATACTATTGATGGATATTTCAGCCTTTTGCTCTTTCATAATCTTAAGTAAAAATTTTATGAATAGAGTGTTTTGAATGAAATAAGCATTAAAAAAAATTACATAACAGCTAATATCACTCTGTTTACAGGGACATTTAGCATGCAAGAATACTTAATGCCTTTTATCCTCATATCAATAGTGCATTTACTATTTAGATGAAATTAAAATATAATTATATTTGCCTCTTTCCTAATGAAATAACATATTGCATTAAAATAGCATACATGTTTATACTGTCTTCTTTGTGAATCTTAATAAGCTAAAGTTTTTTTGACCGGTAAATAGCAAAGTACAAAAAATGTGCAGCTCAAAATAGTAAAAACAAATTCTTAACATGGAACTGTACACTCCTGTATGATCAGGCCGCTCAGTATGGCTCTCCTCTGGCTCTTTGTACATCCCCGCTCAACCAGTCCCTGCTTCACCTACTCAGGTGAACAGTACTTGCCCCCCACCCAGCTAGTGATTGTTCTAATCCTTTGGCTCCACCTGCTATTTTATTAAAGGGAAACATCTGCCCTCATGATGGTTGTTAACCTGAGGGGCTGTGAGGGACACGCCCCAGCTGGTTTCCCTGGTAACTGATGAGCCAACCTGACATCAATTCCCCCTATAAATGGAAGCCTCCTTCTTCCCCAAGCAGTAAAGATGGCTGCTGTGGCTTGTCTGCTGTACGCGTGGGGCATTGCACCGGGACCCTCTATTTCAGACAGGTAAGATCCCCTATCCAATATTACTGATCTCTGTCACTGTCTCAAGGCTCTTTCTTCAGTGTCCAGGCTGTGCAGCTACAATACAAGGCTTGCAGCCTGCAGAGTGCAGCACAACAGTTGGTGAGCAACTCAGGGCACCAGGGAAACTCCCACGAGCACTGAGATTTGGGAAGTAAGAACAGGGAATGGACACTTGTGGAGTTAGTCCTGGGGTGGCTGTCCACTAGCATGTGGGGCCCCAGAGTTGTGAGAGGTAATCCCGAGGTGGCCATCCACTAGTGTGGACGTGCCCCGTGGCAGCTGTCTACCATGAGAGGTATATTTCTCTTCCATTTATGTTGATAATAGCCTATTAACCTCAGAGTCTCTTTCAAGTTTAAGAGTAGCAGCCCCGTGCTCGTGGTTCATCTTGGCTGCACAGGGATGGCTGGTGAATACAGACAGAACACAAGGACCTGGATTATCTACAAAATACAGGCATACCCCTGACCCACTGCCCCTAAACAATTACAGACACAGGCTTTAGGGATAATAACTCAGGAACAGGCTTGTAAATTAGACATGGCCAGTTACCCAGGTTTGGCTGGGGCCTGTGACAATGGCAAAAAGATAAGACTAACCTATTTTGGTCATAGCTATGGCCACGGTCAGAGCAACGATACAGTGTGAGCGAACAGCTATACGCAGTCTACAATGCATTACAGCAGGTGGAAAACATTATAAAAGGCCTACGTAAGTCATCGAGCAATGCAAAAACCCACTATTCAGGGTCTAGGAGAGCTGTGCATGACATACAGGACTCCCATCGACATTGATAGTGACCAAGGAACCCACTTTACCCACCAAAAAGTTCAGGAATGGGCCTCTAAAAATGACATATGCTGGTATTTCCACCTGCCCTACAACTCCACTGCTGCTGGGCTAACTGAAAGGATGAAAGGACTACTTAACAATTGAGATGTGAAATCTATAACCAAACATTCCAGGAGCAATCATCCCAGTGCCTATGCCAGGTTAATCCAGAAACAACTAGTCAACACCATCTGAGTTCAACTGGTGACCACCAAAGGACTGCTGCCGATTATAGGTCAGGACAATGACTCACTTTTGTCCTTGCCACAGAATCTACCCCCCGAGAAACACATTATAAAATCGCCCTGGGACTGGCAAGTAAGTCCTCAGTAGTTTGGGTTTGCCGCCCTGTGTGGGGAATAGAATTAGGGACTTACAGATCTCACCTGTCTTCTACCCGGCCCCACCTAAGACTACTAAGGTAATTAATCCAGGCCCCATAATGCAGAAAAGCACCATTATTTTAACCTGTGGTCTGTTACTCCGCCTCTCCAGTATTTGACATCAACTGTGCAGACTGGGTGTGGACAGGTGGTGTGGCACTTTAGGCCACG